CTCTCGCCCGGCGCCTGTGCCCCGCGGAGTGGCGCGCCAATCTGGGGTGGCTTCGGATGCAACTCCTGGGAGGCACGGTCGGACCGAGGTATGGGTGCCATCCTGTTCTTCGTGCTTGTTTCGTGTTCCTTGGCATCCTGGGGGAGGGTTTACCCGCGAGTGTTCGTCGGTTTGGCCGGCGGAGGGTCTCGTGTTCTTGAGGGATGTTCTTCTGTCCTCGGTCCAGCCGTACAGTTCAGCATCCCTGAGAGCCTGGCAGGTAAGTTCAGCAGCTCCTTTCGAATGAACAACTGGTTTCCGTCGCTCTCCCCCTCACCTCCCCCTCCTTCTTCCCTCCTCCCTCCCCCTCCCCTCCCCAAAGCACTCGCCGCCAGCGTTGCTCGTCATGGCAGGCTTGCTCTATAATCTCGCTGTCTCCACTAGTGGGGTGTGACGCTTTCGGGCGTTCGTTCAGACCTTTGCCTTGCGATCCCGGCGTCGCATTTTTTTTTCGAGTTGGGCGTGTCCGCATAATTTCGGGCCCTGGGACCCGACATATCGATGCAGCTCGAATCGAAAAGTGCAGCAGCAAGCTGGGGTATGGGGCTCCGGTCGTGCTGTTTTGCGATGCAGTTTTTTCTCAATGCTGGATCTCAGGGATCGGCGCTGGTATATCCCTGGCCCGTGGTCGAATAACAAGCCGAACCTGGCATACTCCCGTGTTCTATGGCTCAATCCTGCCTCATCTGGCCGAGTCCCGGGCCTCATCTGGCCCAATCCGCTTGCCCTGCACCCGGGCTCAAGCTCTAGCCCGTCGGCGAGCGAGGGGAGGAGGTGAGAAGCAGTGGGCCTTCTCAGAAGGCGGCGGGACTTCTCAGAAGGTCCGAGAAGCGCTCCGTGCCTTCGGGGCAGGCTCAGAAGACTTCTCCGAAGGCCAGGGGACGTCCGAGCCTTCGCCCCTTCTCAGCTTCCCCCCCCGTGGGCGAGCCGCCGACCAGCCCCCTGCTCGCTCCAACGAAGGCCTCCCAGGCGTTGCCTCCCGTAGAAGGTGGCGAGAGGATGCGGACCAGGCCGACGGGGCGGCGACGGCGCCCGCGGGCGCGGCCGAGGCGCCCGCGGTCTGGCCCCCGCGCGCGCGCGCGGAGGAGCCCGCGCCGGAGCGGCCCGGCAGCAGGGCGGTGTCCAAGGGCGGCGCGGCCGCGGGCCCGCGCCCGGCGAGCCGCGCGGAGGCAGGGGCGGGTCCGTGGCACCTGCCACAGCGCGCAGAGGACTGGTGGTCAGAGCCCCGAATCATCAGGGGTGACTCGGGTCAGGGCTAACTCGGGTTCCTTTTCCGGGAATCCAAGCCCGAGTTACCCCGGACCCGAGTTACCCCGGATAACTCGGGCGCCCAAGGTGGAGCACAAGAGGGATCGGGCACCGAGGGAGCGGTGCTCTTGCTCCGGGCTGCCGACTGCCTCCTTGCAGCCGTAATTAGTTGACGGGCGCAGCATGGCGAGTGCCCCTGCGAAGGGAAGGAAGAGAACGCCCACCCAGACAAATCCACTGAGGAGAGCTGCAGTGGTCCACTCGGCATTGGCATTCGAGTGTGCCAGTGCAGTCATTTGGGCTCGGGCGCTCGGCTGTTTCAGTGCGACCCACCGCCCACCCTGGGGCCTCGCAAGTTCCTGGGAGTGGCAGGGGCCCTGAGCCGGGGCCCCTGGAACCGCGACCTGAAAAAGTGGAATCACCATCAGTTCTTCCCTTTTTCCGCCATCGCATCGCTATTGGTGCCGACCGTGAACATTCTTCCGTGTACCAACACGCAAGTGTATCTTCGTCAACCTCCCGACGTTTGATGCCATTTGGGCTCGGGCGCTCGGCCGTTTCAGTACAACCCACCCACCACCCTGGGCATCAAGTTCCTTAGAGTGGCAGTGGCCCTGAGCCAGGGGCCCCCGGAACCGCGACCCGAAAAATGGGTGTTGCCGTTTGTTTTTGGCTGCAATTGCACCGGTTTCAGAGTCCATTCAGGATGCGATGAAGATGCGTTCCAACCTAGCGTTGGCTCGGGGGAGAACGTGGCCCAGCACTGGTTCCAGCCAGCAGGCAGGGTGGAGAAAGTGCTCTTCCTCGACCCTGCGAGGGGTGTGGGGGCTTTTGGCTGTTTGCTTGCATGTGTGTTTTCGTCCCCTTTCTGACAGAGTTTCGGTTGGCTCGCCAGTTCAAGGTTTCCCCCGGATTTTTGCGATTGGCTGCTGCTCGCTCCGCCCGCGGTCCAGGCCCGAGGGTCGCTAGACTACCACAGAGCTCGTGGAACGCATCCTGGACCTCGTATCTTGACATCGTTTTCGTCTTGTATAAGACTCCCGAGGTCCTTAGTTTTTTATGACGTGGGCCTCCAGCGGTTCCGACCAATTCCCAGCACTGGCTTTGCCTCCCGATTCGTTTTTCGACTGTCCCGAGGCCCGGCGGCGGCCCCAAGAGGCTGCAGACGGCCACAAACCTGCCGTCGTGATTTTTGTCCACGACGCGAGGGGGTCTATGGTGCATCCCCCCGCCGCAAACAAAGAGGGGCCCTCCCTGCAGGAGGGCCGGCTCCGGCCGATGGCGACGGAGGACCCCATCGCCTGGGCGCCGCGGGGGCAGCCCGTTCGCTTGGGCGCCAAGGCCGGGGGTTCTTGCAAGAGGGGCGGTTCAGGGCCCAGGGTAGCGAGGGCTGCGCCAACGGGGGCCAGCAGACCCTTTGGTTGGGACGGAATTGGGGACCACACCTCCGACGATTTTTTGCTGTTCGATCAGGGGATTACGGGAAGCGCCTTCTCGGAAAGAGAAGGTGCTGCCAGTTTGTTAGGCCAAGCTTTCTAATAATGAATAAAGAACTAAGACGCGAGGGACCATGGCCGCCCCATTGCAAATGCTTTTTGCTTGGCGGATTCCCCTTTTTTGGCAGTTTTCCTTAGGGTTTTTGCATGTTTTTCGGGTTTCCCCCCCAAGACGGCCCAAGAGCGCTCCGAGAAAGCCCAAGACCACCCAAGACGGCCCAAGAGGCCCCCAAGAGGCCCTCAAGAGGCGCCCAAAGGGCGTCCCAAGAGGCCCAAGAAAGATTCAAGGAAGAGGAGGAAAAGGAGGAGGAGGAGGAGAAAGGGGAGGAGGAGGAGGAGGAGGAGAATGAGGAGGAGGAGGAGGAGGAAGGAGGAGGAGGAGGAGGAGGAGGAGGAGGGAGGAGAAGGAGGAGGAGGAGGAGGAGGAGGGGGAGGACGAGGAGGACGAAGACGAGACGAAGACGAGAGAGGGAGGAGGAGGGAGGGCGAGGAGAGGGAGGGAAGGAGGACGAGGAGAGTGAGGAAGGAGGAGGTAGAGGAGAAGGCGGAGGAGGAGGAGAAAGAGGAGGATGAGGAAGGAGCAGGAGGACGATGAGAGGGAGGTGGAGGAGCAGGAGGAGGAGGAGGAGGAGGAGGAGGTAGGAGGAGGAGGCGGAGGAGGAGTAGGCGAGGAGGCGAAGACGAGGAGGAGGAGAAGAGGAGGCGGAGGAGGAGGAGGAGGAGGAGGAGAGGAGGAGGAGGAGGAGGACGAGGAGGACGAAAGAGAGGAGGACGAGAAGACGAGGAGGACGAGGAGAGAGGAGACGGGGGAGGAGGGAGAGGAGACAGGGGAGCAGGACAAGGAGCAGGGGGATGGGATAAGGAGCAGGAAAAAGGAGGAGGAGGAGGAGGAGGAGCGAGGAGGAGGAGGAGGAGGAAGGAGGAGGAGGAGGAGTGAGGAGGAGGAGGAGGAGTAGGGAGGGAGGAGGATGAGGGATGAGGAGTGAGGAGGAGGAAGCAGGGGATGAGGAGGAGGAGGAGGAGGTAGGAGTAGGAGAAGAGGAACTGTAGAGGAGGAGGAGGAGGAGGGGAGAGGAGAGGAGGAGAACGAGGAGGACGAGGGGGAGCAGGAAGAGGAGGAGGACGAGGACGAGGACCAGGAGGACGAGGTGCACGAGGAGGACGAGGAGGAGGAGGATGAGGGGGAGGAGGACGGCGAGGAGGACGAGGAGGAGGAGGAGGAGGAGGAGGAGCAGGAAGTGGCGGAGGATGAGGAGGACGAGGAGGACGAGGAGGACGAGGAGGACGGCAAAACGAAACTTTGCGCTCGGGTGTGCTCTGGTCGTCGGGGTGTGGCGTTGGCCGGGACTCTCGACCCTGTCCCCTTGGATTGAGGGGCCCTTCTCCCTCTCCCTCCCTCCCTCCCGCCCACCAGAACAGAACAGGAGGAGGAAGGATGATGGAGGAGGGGGAGGAGCAGGTCCCAGGGAAAGAATCCTGAGGTCCAGGGGCAGGCGCCTCGGCTATTTGGGTGAAGCGGCGGCGGGTCGGGGTCCACACAATACTTATATAGCGATTTCGGGGTCCACGCAATACTTATATGGCGATTTCGGGACCCACGGAATGCTTATACAGCGACTTCGGGAACAACGGGATATTTATATAGCGATTTCGGGACCCACATCATGTTTTTAATAACGATTTCGGGACCCACAGAATATTTATACAGCGATTTCGGGACGCATTCCGTTTTACGTGGGAATCCGTGTGCCTGCGCACGCAAGCTAAGAGAAGCGGCGCTTCCCGTTCTTGTCCGGATAGGTTGGGCCGTTTTCCTTTGGGCTTTTGGATGTTTTTCGGGTTTCCCCCACCGTTTTGGGCTGTTTTCCCATTGTTTGTTTTGGATGTTTTTCGGGTTTCCCCCCCGTTTTTTCTTTTTTCCCTTTGGGTTTGTTTAACATGTTTTTCGGGTTTCCCCAAAAGACAGCCCAAGAGCGCTCCAAGAGTGCCCAAGACCGCCCAAGACGGCTCAAGAGGCCCCCAAGAGGCCCTCAAGAGGCGCCCAAGGGGCGTCCCAAGAGGGTCCAAAGATGCCAAAATCATTAGCGATTTCGGGGTCCACGCAATACTCATATAGCGATTTCGGGACCCACAGAATACTTATATAGCGACTTCGGGACCAGCGGAATACTTATATGGCGATTTCGGGGTCTACGCAATACTTATATCGTGATTTCGGGACCCACGGAATACTTGTACAGCGATTTTGGGGACCAACGGAGTACTTATACAGCGTGTTTTTAACAGTTTTGTTGAAACATCAGCGTTTCGCCCGACACATCCTCCAACAATTGCCTTCGGACGGGTCCTCGAAGGCGAAATTGTTGAAACAACCAAGGTTTTTTCACCAGTTGTCTTAAAAACGTAGCGTTTCGCTCGAGACATTCTCCAAACATATTTGAACTCGCGCGGAACATGAATTCCACCTGATATCTGTTGTGGGCGTTCGGGGTAAGAGCGACGTCTAAATTCGCGCGGGTAGTGACCTCTACCTGGTATCTTTGGTGGCCGTTCGCGGTGAGCGGTGACTGAAGTTGCGCGGATGGTGAATTCCATGCGGTATCTTTTGTGGACGTTCGGGGTGAGCGGCACGTCGGGATTTGCGCGGAAATCGTGAACTCCATCTGGTTCTTTTTGCGGGCGTTCGGGGTCAGCTGTACGTTTGAATGTGCGCGGGTAGCGAAGTCCATGTGGTACTCCCTGTGGACGTTCGGGAAGAGTGCCTACGCGACATGCGAACTTGATGTTGGCGCACGTTCTTGCCAAGCTCTTTGGTTTCACGCGCTTCTCGTTCATGTCAAGACATGTTCCTCAACGTGGCCATTTCGCCTGAGACATCCTCACGCACTGGAGATGTTCGCACTATCGTTTAAAACGCTTTATGTAAACATTGACGATTTCGCTTGAGACATCCTCGGCGAGTCGGGACGTTGAAAAAGTAAAAAGGTTTTTGATGTGCATGAAAGAGGGGCGGTTTCGCTTGAGATATACCTCTCATGTTAAGTTTGGCGCTCTCGCTGCAGACATCCTCAGAAAATTGGGAGGAGCACAGCAGACGGAAAAAAAGGACACGGCAGAAAATGGGCATTTCGCTGGGGGCATCCTGAAAAAATGAAATGTTCGCAACGTCGTCTCGACATCGTTTTCGAAGTGCTTCAAGATTAACAAATGGGAGCCCAAGAAGGAGCCCAAGATGGCTCCAAAAGCGCCCTGGAGACTGCCGAAAATGACGATTTCGCTAGGGACATCCTCACATAATGAACACATGCAGCAACATCGTCTTCAAAATTGCTGCTCTGACATCGTCTTGGAATTACTCCTGAAAAGGCTTTCAGATGGTCCAAGCCAGCCTTCTGAAAATGACGATTTCGTTCGGGACATCCTCAAACAATCAATGTGTCTAACATCGCATTGTCATGATTTTCGAGGGCAGCAAGACGGCCCCAAAGGGCCCCAAACGAGCCCCAATATGAGCAACAAAAGCGCGCTCGACACGGCCCATGATGGCGATTTTTCTTGAGACATCCTCACAACAATGGCACGTTAGCAACATCGATTTTATGAAAAGATAAGCGTCTCGCCTGAGACATCCCGCAAACATGGAAAGTCGCGAATTTGACATATTTTCCAAGATGGGCGTTTCGCCTGAGGCATCCTCACAAAAATGATCTGTTGGAAAAGCTGCCTGACTACCTCTCATGTTAAAATGGCGCCCTCGCTGCAGACATCCTTTGAACATCGGGAGGAGCACGACAGACTGACAAAAAGGAGTACGGCAGAAAAGGAGCGTTTCGCTGGGGACATCCTCAAACATGAGATGTTATTAACATCTTCTTCACATCGCTCTTGAAGTGTTCCGAAAATGGCGAAATTGCTGCAGACATCATTCAAACATTGGAACTTCGCGATATCGTCTTGAAGCCGAAAGGCGCACCGCACAACAAGACGAGGAGCACGGCAGAATAGGCCCCAAGAGCGAAGGAGCACGGCAGAAAATGACCAGGAGCATGGCAGAATAGACCCCAAAAGCCAAGGAGCACGGCAGAAAAGGCCCCAAGAGCGAAGGAGCACGGCAGAAAAAGACCAGGAGCACGGCAGAATAGGCCCCAAGAGCAAAGGAGCACGGCAGAAAACGACCAGGGTCCTGGCAAAATAGACCGCAAGAGCGAAGGAGCACGGCAGAAGAAGGCCCGGAGCACGGCAGAATAGACCCCAAGAGCGAAGGAGCCCGGCAGAAAAAGATCAGGAGCACGGCAGAATAGGCCCAAGAGCGAAGGAGCCCGGCAAAAAACGGCAAAGAGCGACAGAGCACGGCAGAAAAAGAGCAGGAGCACGGCAGAATACACCCCAAGAGCTAAGGAGCACGGCAGAATCAGACCAGGAACGTGGCAGAATAGGCCTCAAGTGCGAAGGAACACGGCAGAAAAATGACCAGGAGCACGGCAGAATAGACCCCAAGAGCTAAGGTGCACGGCAGAATATGACCAGGAGCACGGCAGAATAGGCCCGAAGTGCGAAGGAGCACGGCAGAAAAAGACCAGGAGCACGGCAGAATAGGCCCCAAGAGCTAAGGAGCACGGCAGAAAAAACGACCAGCAGCACGGCAAAATAGACCCTAAGAGCTAAGGAGCACGGCAGAAAAGGCCCCAAGAGCGAAGGAGCACGGCAGAAAAAGACCAGGAGCACGGCAGAATAGGCCCCAAGAGCTAAAGAGCACGGCAGAACAAATCGACCAGCAGCACGGCAGAATAGACCCTAAGAGCTAAGGAGCACGGCAGAATAGGCCCGAAGTGCGAAGGAGCACGGCAGAAAAAGACCAGGAGCACGGCAGAATACACCCCAAGAGCTAAGGAGCACGGCAGGAACAAACGACCAGCAGCACGGCAAAATAGACCCTAAGAGCTAAGGAGCACGGCAGAATAGGCCCCAAGAGCTAAGGAGCACGGCAGAAAAAGACCAGGAGCACGGCAGAATAGGCCCCAAGAGCTAAGGAGCACGGCAGGAAAAAACGACCAGCAGCACGGCAAAATAGACCTTAAGAGCTAAGGAGCACGGCAGAACAAGACCGGGAGCACGGCAGAATAGGCCCCAAGAGCGAAGGAGCACGGCAGGAACAAACGACCAGCAGCACTGCAAAATAGACCTTAAGAGCTAAGGAGCACGGCAGAACAAGACCGGGAGCACGGCAGAATAGGCCCCAAGAGCGAAGGAGCACGGCAGAAAGCACGGCAGAACGGGAGCACGGCAGAACACACAGGAGCACGGGAAAACACACCCCGCACGCACGCCGACACGCGCGCCGAGACATACCTGCGCGGCAGACCAACAAGAGAGCATACTTCACATGCTTGGTGGACTAAAGCGACGCTTCCCGTCCTTGTCCGGTCAGGTTCCCCAAACACAGGCGTTTCGCTGGAGACATCCTATGTTGAAACCGCATGTTTGAGACTCCTTTCGCTAAACATGAGGCTCTAGCTTGAGACATCCTCATACAATGAGCTACTGAGCTCGCTCTCGAAATCTAGCGAATATTTCGGCCATGCGAGTCAGAAGTTCGGCGCGTTAAAACGGCCATGCGGGTTCAAACGTCAAGCAGGGCAGGTGATCATCATCATCATCATCATCATCATCATCATCATCATCATCATCGTCATCATCATCACCACCATCATCATCAGCGTTAGCAGCAGCAGCAGCATCATCATCATCGTCACCATCATGGACAGTGTCACCGTCATCGTCATCGTCATCATCATCGTCAGTGTCATTGCCATCGTTGACTGCCACACGACGCAATACACGACGCATGCAACATACAGAACACATGACACACCCCCAGCACGCAAATGGCCATTTAGATACGCTCACCACGCACAGACCATACTCATGCCGTACATTCCCCCGCCCGTCAACCCCAGAACACATCCTTGACGCCCGCCGTACGCCCCCCCCGCCCATCGCCCCCAGAACGCACCCCGCACGCCCACCGTACATCTCCCCGCCCGTCCCCCCCACAGCGCACCCCGCACGCACTCCGTACACCCCCCGTCCCGTCCGCCCAGCACACGCCCTGCACGCACAGCCGCACACGCGCGCACAGGCACACACAGGCACACACAGACACACAGGCACACGCACGCACACACACACGCACACACCACACACACCACACACACCACTCACACACGCACACACACAGACGGTGACTGCTCCGGCAACAGGTGACACACACACAAACACGCACAAGCACGCACACACACCATACACACAACATACAAAACATATACAACACACAACACACAACACACAACACACAACACACACAACATACAACACACAACACACAACGCACAGAACACACACACAGCACACACAACATACAACACACACACAACATACACAACACACAACACACAAAACACACAACACATAACACAGACAACACAACACACAACAGGCACATACGCACACACGCACACACCGACGGTGACAGCTCTGGCGGATGGGCAACAGTGGACACACACAAACACACAGACACACACACACACACGCACACACGCAACCACACACACAACACACAACACACAAAACACAAAACACACACACAACATACAACACACAACACACAAGACACAATCCATAGCTCACAACACACACACACACACCACACAACACACAGCACACACAACACACAACACACAACACACAACACACAACACAACACACACAACACACTACACACATCACACACAGCACACACAACGCCCACAACACACAACACACACAATACACAAAACACACAATACACAACACACACCACACAACACACAACGCACACAACACACAACACACACAACACACAACACACACAACGCACACAACACACACCACACACACCACACACAACACACAACACACACAACACACACACGCACACACACGCACACCCACTTACGCACACACATACACATACACATTCACATTCACATTCACATTCACATACACATACACATACACAAACACATACACATACACATACACATATGCATACACATACACATACACACCACACTTTCACACACATTCACATTCACGTTCACATACACATCCACATCCACATACACATACACATACACGTACACATACACATACACGTACACATACACGTGCACACTCACACACATACACATACACACATACACACATACACACATACACACATACACACATACACACATACACATACACACATACACATACACATACACACCCGTGCACAGCCGACCAACGCAAGTGCAGGCAACCACTAAACTTAAGCTACCAATGGCAACCATCTGGGCATGCAGGGGATCCCAGCGATTGCACCCTATGCGCACACATGTGCGTTGGGTGCAACTCCATGCGCGCGTGCGCGCACATGCTCAGAGAAGTGGCGCTTCCCGTTTTTGTCCAGAAAGGTTGTGCTGACCTGGGGTAGTGCGTCACCGCGGGGCGATGGCCGGGGAGGGGGGAAGCACTCGCTGGTCCTTGCATCCCAGCACCCTTCGTGTCCTGACAAGCTCACGACAGAAGGTTCGGCACTATTTTCGGCTCCCTGGGGCCCTCGCTGGGCCTTCGGACCGTCAATGCGCGACTCCGTCCAAGCGGGGGGTTGGGGGCCAGGGAGGGGGGAAGCTTTCGCTGGTTCTTGGAGCGGAGGTCGGCGCCAAGACATGCTCGCGTCGTAAAGAACTCACGGCGGGAGAAGGGTTTGGACTGTCTTCGGCCTCCAGGGGCCGCCGCTGGGCCTCGGGATTGTCAAAAAAGTTGACCCGGGAGGAAACAAAAAGTCCTCTGGAAGGGGTCCAGACCTGTGGGGGTTCACGTGGTGGCAGAATCAATCATGACATCGGTGGCTTAGGATCGGAGGCTGACAGAGCCCCAGCGCTGCCGAGTCGATCGGCGAAGTGCCCGTGGCCCCCCTCCCGAGAGGGCGTTGCGGGCCTGCGCCCGCCGGGTCTGGTCCCGGGGCCGCTGTCCTCAAAGGGTGCTGTGCTGACGGGAGCGCCCCCCCTCTCGGTATTTTTTTCCCGACCCCCATCCCCATTCTCATCCCCTTCGAGACGCCGACCAAATTACCCCCCCAGTTGGGGCACACCCTTCGAAGCCCGAAGGGAACGGCCCATATCCCCATCTAGGGGGGCAAATCGGCCAGTGGGGCCCAGGCCACGCCGCTGGGGATGGGGATCGGTTGAACGGTACTCATCCCGCTCTCTCCCCCTCCGCGGCCGCCCCGTCTGGCTCAGTCAACCCTCCTGCACGCTAGGCAATTCGCTTTTCGGTGTCCCCGTTTAGCCCGGCCGCTGGTGCAGCAGTTCTTCCTCGCCGCCGACGAACACAAGTTTTGCTGACGGGGGTTCTGTCCACCCCCGGCTCTCGGAGGTTTTCTCGCCTCGGGCTGCTTCCAAGCAGCTGCGCCTCGCTGAGGGCTCTCCGGGGTTATACCGAGGTCGTCCCGAAGGGCCGCTATGGAGGCCCAGGCTGTGGCCCGAAGCCCATCGGGTGCCGAGGGGGGTGAGGACAAGGGGTGGGTGCGGATATCATGCTTCCACCCTCCTCTGCGGCCCCTTTGTCTGTATGTTTCCCTCCTCCTGCATGCTGGACAATTCGCTCTTCGGTTGCCCCGAATCGCTTCCCGCTGGTGCAGTATACCTCTGCCTCGCCGCCGACGTAAAATGTGGTGGCCGGGATTCGCAGTCTCCCAGAAGCGGTCCGGAAGTTTGGCCTAGCGTGTCGGGCCGCTGGTTCTGGCCCACCGCGGAGCGGAGCGACACGCTATCCGCTTGCACGGCATAGCGTGTCGCTGGGGCCCTGGCCGCGGCACGCTTAGCAAAAGTTCCTGACCGTGTCGTTCCCCCCTCCTCTTTTTTCAAGACGTCCCCTGGCCCCACCTCGTCCGCGCGCATGCCTCGGACCATGATGCGCTGACTCCCCTCATCATGCCCCCCCTCTTCGGCGCACCCGAGGAGGGCGGGCACCTGCCCAGCGGCACGGGGAGGCCACTTGCCCAGCTGCCTGGTGTCGTGCGGCTCGGCGGCGCCGAGGAGTCGAAGAGGACAAAGAAGAAACGTAGTAATGGTGATCCTAGTACGAATAACATCACAGAGCCGGCACAGACACAAACATAGACTCACTAGGTCCGCGCGGATTTCTCGGATCGGCGTTGGACATCTCCTGGCGGCGCCGCCCGCGCCGCCGCTGGCACGCTCCGCACGCAAGGGAGGGGGTCCAGTGCCGATCCAAGAGATCCGCACTGGCCTCCGAGAGTTTATGCTTAGGCAGTTATTGTCCGGGTGTTTCCAAACGTATCCGTGGCCCAAGGTGGGCCCAGGATTTTCCGGGAGGGTCAGATGGAGGGCACCATGGGGCTCCAGAGCGACGCGAAAACCAGGAGGCAACTGGGGCCAGGACAACCTCCCCTGAGATCTGGCGCCGTGAAACAGCACGAAAATCGCAACCAGAGCCCCAGCCCCCGCCTTTCTGTGGCGCTTCTCTTGCGGCGGACCGATCTGTGAGGGCCCAGGGGTTGGAGAAGCCGGGCGAGGAAACTCCCGGAGTGAACCAATTGCAACGCTCAGACTTCAGGGTCGGAACGGCCGGTCCCTGTCGCGTCGACGTGAACGCTCGTCTCCAACACCGCGTGCACGGATTCCCTTCGGGGATCATCTGTTAAAATAACCTAGAGGTCCTCAGGATCGGTTTTACCGATCCAAGAACGCTGCTCCTGATTTTTGCGGATTTACCGGATCGGCTTTTCTTGGATTCTTTTTTCTGGATCGGTTGTTGTTCCAGATTGTTTTCAAAATACGTTTAATAAGCATTATTTAAACATATGTGTAAAAACATACATATGTAGATCACACATGATTTCATATACATGCGTGTGTCGCGTGCGCGCGGGGCGGTGTCTTCGAGATTTGCGAGCGTGTGCCTGGCTCCACACCTCGGCCATCTGGCCTCCGACGTAGCCAGACACGTTCTCCTAAGAGTGCGCACGCGTGCGATCGATACGACGTACGACGAGAGGGGGGGGGGGTTCGTCGGGACTTGAAGGGGCGGGCGTTTTCATCCACGATCGTTGGTCACTCCCCCGTCGTCCCCCCCCACGAACGCGTTGCGCGACGTGCGCCGAACGAAATTATGAGGGGGCGTGGCGGGGCGGAACGGCGAAACCGCGGGACAGGGTTGCGAGGGCTCGAAACGATCAACGTGGCGAGTCGGCGAGAGGGTGCGGCGAGATGATGGAGTGGTGGGTCCCCCAGGTCACATTCCCCTCTCTCGATCACGCTGTAGCGCGTGAGCACCACGAGATCTACATATGAAAACAAGCGAGGCGAGAGCTCGAGGAAAAGGTCTCGAGAGTGCGCGAGGGAGAGAGGCCACTCGACGAATGAACGATAGACCAGAAGATGGGCGAAAGCGCCCGGCGCGAAACAAAAATGAGATGCCATGTCCTGAGGTCTTCGCTCTTCCGTCCACAGCAGGGCGCCGCCCCAACACCGCATAATGGTGGGGAGATACAGGCAACCCGCATAGTAAAGATGGGCAACCTTGCCCTGGGTACCCTTGCACCCTTGCCTCTTCGGTCCAGCCTTGGTCACTTTCGCTGGCCGCGCCCCGCTCGAGAAGCTTCGAAATGGGCGCCCCGGGCCCTTGCATCCTTGTCGTGCATCCTTACCATACGGGTTGACTGTATCCACTCCTGGGATATCTGGTGCTTCTGCTGTGCCCACGAGGAGGGCGTCGGGCCCGCGGCGCAGGGCGCGGCCGTCGGGTTGCCCGTGGTGCGCACGGGTTCCGCGGCGGGGAACTGGCCGCGGGCGCGGGGCCCCGCGGAACCGCCCAGCGGCCCCCAGGATCGGCACGATCGAATTGGGCATGGGAAAACATTGTGACGATGCGGGACACCCTCATCTTCTTCCTCCTCCCTTCGCCTCCTTCTCCTCCTCCTCCTCCTCCTCTTCCTCGTCCTCCCGATCCTCCTCCTCCTCCTCCCTCCTCCTCCTCCTCCTTCTCCTCCTCCCTCCTCCTCCTCCTCCTCCTCCTCCTCCTGTTGCTGCTCCTCCTCCTCTTGCTGCTCCTCCTCCTCCTCCTCCTCCTCCTCCTCCTCCTCCTCCTCCTCTGGCTCGTCGGGTCCAACGCGCAAGGGGAGGAACGAACAATTCCTTTACTCCTCCTCCGTTCCTCTTCCCTCCTCCCTCCAGTCTCGGCTCGGGGGTCTCTGATCCATGGCGTAGACAGGAAACGCCCAGCATTCCTGTTGATCGCATTGCTGGACTGGACATGCGCCAACCCAGCGCGTGACTGATTTGTGTCAACCACCCCTTTCAGTATCCGCGCGCGCCATTGCCCAAAAGGGTCAACGCCGTGCGCTGTCAGTCCCAGCGCAGCTCTGGGCAACAGGCAAAAACCGCCTAAAGGCGACCTTGCAGGACCGCCAAGACAGCAACCTGGCCCACAAGGGAGCTTGCGCCTCCGCACTCCAGAGTAGTGGCGGCGCCGACCGAGCAGTCGCTTCATACAGCAAGCTCAATCACGAACGCGACATCTTCTATAAACAACATCGCTCCAACCAGCCTAAGCTGAGGGGCGAATTGATGCAACTGCGTGGGGAAGCTAAGGCCAGCTACGCGATGCTGCATTACTCCGTGACGCACAACGCGGGTTGTGGGATCATGTGGCTCCCTCTCGTCCTGACTCTAGCGCCTACCCTGTCCCATACGTGTTCTCTGCTTCTCCTGTCTGTGCTTGAATTCGTGATTCAGTTGGGCCAGGATTTCGGTTTTAATGTGACTGATATGCGGACGCTTTGGCTCAAACCATTTCTTGTTGTGCGTTTGAAGAGATACATCCTAGTCGGATAATCTTGCGATGGCCCCCTGAACCCGTCGCATCCACAATGGTGGCGGAGCGTGGTTCCCCACACGACTTCCGGCGCACAGCACGGGCGCGCCGGGGGACGGTCTACAGATCCGCGGCAGGGCGAGGGTGGCCAAGGGGGTACAGGGCTAGACGACTGGATGAGGTCCTCAGACGCATCCGCTTTAGTAAGCGGCGGCGCAGCAGGAGCGCTTACAGACACATCTGTGGAGAGAGTAGCGGGCAGAGTAGCTGAGATGATTCGACAGGGCGCGGGAACTTCACCCACGACGCCAGCACCCACGGCGTCACCGAGGCTCTCGGGACAGAAGACTGCGGAGGACAACGCAGGCAGTGCAGCTCCCTGTCAGGAGGCGGGCTGGGGTGTAGTAGGCGAAGGGGCAGGACGCGAAGATCGCGACCCTTGGAGTGAGCACGACCCTTGGAAAGACGCGGCTTGGAAACTGACTCGGCCAACAAGGTTCCCGAGAACAAGTGCGTGCCATCATCCATGAGAGCCTCGGGGACGAACGACGCGCGGCAGAGCGTCGAGAGGTGGAAGGGCCACGAGTGGAAGAGTCACGACGCACGGCAGCAGACCTCGTGGCAGCAGACCTCGTGGCAACGCCACCGGTGGCAGCAACCCAGGCCAGCTCGCTCGTTGCAGGGATGGGAGAAGTTCAGACTGTGGAAGCAGTACGTGAGGCGCTGGAAGGACAACCTGCATGTGAGCGAGGTGCAGTCAGCCGGCCGATTGCTCGAGGTGTTGCCCTGCGACATCCGCTCGAGTCTCGAGGACATCCCAGATAGCGAGTTGACCGTAGACGTCATCCTCAGGCGGATGGGTGTCAAGTTTGGCGAACGAGAGGACGACTACCTGTTCGGGGCCGGCAGCGAGGCGATGCAGGACACCGAGAGGAGGAAGGACGAGGACCTCCACACCTGTGCCGAAAGGCGAAGGCGACAGTTCGAGAAGGCGGATTAAGAGCATCGGGATGGAAACTCCCCCGAAGATCCAGGGCATGCTGCTGCTACAGGGAGCTCGTCTTAATGAGCAAGGGCGGCATAATCTCAGGAGCCGGACGAGAGGCTCCATGCTGGGAGGAGACATCCTGTGGGCGTTGCCGAAGTTGGACACTGGCGGCAACGCCTGGGGCGACACCAGGCCATCGACGCTGGTCAGCCTGGACCCGGAGATGCGTCACCGACCCAGGCATCCCATGAGGAAGCAGCTGGCTCGAGCGAGGAGCCGACCAACGAGTATTCGTGCTGGGCCGACGAGCACGATTCTGACGACGAGACACTGGCGCTGGCGGAGATCTCGGAGAATGGCCTCTAAGAGAACGACGTCGTCGGAACGTTGGTCCAGATCAGGAAGCCGAAGAAGACCTGGAAGGACAACCAGCAGCTGAAGACGGCGCTCAAGCGAAATCGAGGCCTCTGGAAGAAGAAGCGCCGTTTGACACCATCCCAGCTCAAACTGATCACCAAGTGCGGCAACTGTGGCGAGGTTGGACACTGGCACAAGGAGTGCCACCCGACCTAAGCACAATAACGACGGCAAGGGCAGGCCTCGGACAGGGGGTTTCGTCGAGGCCTTCATTTTCGTGTCGATCGAGGCGGACGTCGGCTCGGGGGCCGACCTCAACGGCATCGCGATCCTGGGCATGGAAGTGTTGGCCTTGCTGAGGGAGTTGATCGACCAGGAGTCCGCTTCCTGCGGGGTCCTGCTCGCGCTGCTGCAGCTGGAGCGCGGTCTGATCATCGTGGACAGTGGCGCCTCGCAGGCGATCGTCGGCCGCCGGGCGCTGCGATTGCTAGAGGGACGCAGGCAACTCCAGACCATCTGGTCCGAGAAGAGCGCGCAGCCACTTCGAGGGACCGGCGGGTCGGCCACTCGTTGGAGTTGCAGTGGTGCCGATCAGCATCACCGGGGGGAGCGGGTCTATCGAGTTCGTGGTCACGAAGCAGGACATTTCTCCACCCGTGCCGGGCGGGTTCCTCGAGCATTTCGGAGCTGTGCTGGACTGCGAGAAGGAGCGTCTCCACTGCGTGACGGAGCTCCACTGGATCGAGAGGCCCCACCGGGGCATGTACGTCGACGACTGGCGCGGGTCGGAGAGCACCTTCAAGCCCGGCCCGCGCGCCTTGCCTGCCTGTTTCGGCTCGGACGTTTTCCGAGACTCGTCAACAAAAACGGACGCACCGACTTCCGAGTTTCTCTCCGACATTTTGGGGGCCCCTGAGAGCCTACTGACCAATCCCAACAGCCTGGGTCCTACAACCACCCCGGCTATTTCCGGTTCCCGCGACAGTTCTCCGAACGACTCCAGCTCAGTAGCTGTTCGGGTTCAAACCTCGAGCCAGACGCAGCGCCGACCAGCGGGGCCCTCTGCGACCTCGCGCGACGATGCGGGACAGCCAAGGCTCCGACGTGTAAGAGGGGGCTCGGGTGCAGTTGGTCAGGCAACTCCACGCCTGTCTGATGTGGTTGCAGAGGCTCCTGGGTCAGTTCTACCTGCAGGGCAAGAGAGGCTCATGGAGACCAACCAGGAAGTGAACCGTCACTACAAGTACGTGCTGCCGATGACGAAGACGCTGGAGAAGGGCCCTGTATCTTGGGCGCAATGCCTGTATCGTCCCAGTTGGTTCGAGACGGCGCGCAACCAGTGCGGATTCCGTGCAGGGCGAGATCGTCCTACATGGGGATCGGCTTCCGCGGGGGCGGACATCGGCAGCTGGGCCTAAGAGATTTGGGAGATCAAGATGCAGCTGCCTCTCGACGTCCGACCCCTCGATTCGGCAGCGCGAGCAGCCCTGGTGACGGGCAGGCGCCTGGCCTCGGCCCCGAACGGCGAGAACGCGCGGTCCAGGCACAGCGGGGGGCCGCCTCCTTCATGGGCCATGGAGATGGTGCGAGGGCTGTCGGCGGCGGCGCCAGAGGCGATTGCGACCTCCACGGGGCCCATGGCAGCGGCCCCGCGCGAGCAGTCTGCGATGCTCTCGCAAGTGCAGACCTGGATGCGGGACATGGCGCCCGGGTCCGCGGCCTCCTGCTCAGCCTCAGATCCAGCGACGGTGACTCCCGGGCCCGCCTCGGGCCTCGGGTTCGCCATGGCGGGGCCCCCGGAGCAAGGCGCCGACGAGAAGCCCGAGACTGATCGAGAAGCCCTGAGGGAGAACGGCGCGCCGAGACTGATCGACGGCAAGCCCAGCCAAGCCCGTTGGATTTGCATCCCCTCTTCGCGCAGTCTTCTCGAGGTGGTCAGCGCAGCTTTGGGGCGTGCCCAGGCAGCCAAGCAATGCCGTCGAGTCGATCGCGAGCTTCCGGGCGCGGATCCGAGTCATTCCCTTTCTTCTTCCTTCTCCTCCATTGCGACATCCAGTTTTAGTTTGTGGCAGTGTAAAGTCGACGACGGGCGGCGTAGATTTTGGGCGGGGGGTGTGGGCGGCCACATCGGCCCCAACAAGAGCAACTATAGGTCCTCTTGGGCCACCGATGTCCCCATCCGTTCTCAGGCGATGGTTCCTGCTACGTGGCGCCCAACACACAGCTGTCTATTGGTTTTCAGGTCGTTGGGTTCTGGGCTACTTCGCGACTCCGACGACGCGTTAGCTAACCTGGCGGGCTTGGATAACCACTCCAGCGCGTTCCAGGTCGACCAGAGGGGCAGGCGCCGCGTCGTCAGGGACTCAGGGCACGTGGGAAACAGCCAGGCTCGGATTCCTGGAAGTACGAGTTCGTGGAGGTGCTCCCCCCGCCGCGAATCGCTCCGGCGTCCGACAGTCTGAGCCCCAGGGGGTTCCCCGACAGGAGGTAGCTTAGATCTAGCGACGGGCTGGGACTTCCGACGGGCTGACCACCGGGAGCTAGGTGAGAAGCTGATTGGGATGTGGCGTCCATGGCAGGTGTTTTCCTGTCCTCCCTGCACCGAGTTCGCCGCCTTCAACGCGATCAGCGGCGACCGGCGAGATCCAATGTCGGGCGCGTGAAGTAGCTTTGGACCTGTGGTCTTGCGCCATGGAGATGACCGAGCATCAGATCGCAGGCGGTCGCGAGTTTGCTCTGAAACGGCCGGCCACGGCCACCTTGAACACATCCCGGCATTCAGAGGCTTCTGGAACTCTCGGGCGTGACCAGGATCACCTTCGTCACGTGTCGGCTTGGGCTGCCAGTCGAACGGGGTGCTATCTCCAAGAAGCCGACCGCAGTAGCATCCGACGATTGTGGGTTGCTCCGTGTACTTTCTTGAATGCGAAGCGTTCGGAACCGCGTGCGTCTGGTTCTGGAGGGGCGCGGATTGCCGCGGCGTGCTGCTCGCTTTCCCGGCGAGTTTTGCTGGGCCATTGCTCGCGCGGCACGCCGCTCGGCCGAGTCTCAGCAGCAGAGTGTCGACGGGGGTTTTCCAAGCGGGGTGCGGGCGCCGCGGCGAAAGGGGCCGCAGTCTCGGACCCGGGCCCAGATGGGGGCTTCGGATCAGGAGGACTCCGAGGACGATCAGGAGGAGGACGAGGAGGGGGAGGATCAGGAGGAGGAGGAGGAGGAGGGGGAGGAGGAGGAGCAGTCATCTGACCAGAAGGGATCTGCCGCGAATTCTCAGTCGCGCCCATGCCCGACCAGAGATCCTGCGATGCACGGCGCAAATTTGCTTGTCAGTCCTGCGAGGGCGCGGGCAAGTCCACTCCTCGACGCAAGGCTACCGTTGCATGTACTTTATCTTTCGAAATGCTAATTGATGTGGATATCCTCTATGTGGCGCATTGGCTTCGTGAGTGCACATTTCTGAATGCCTTGTACCTGCGGTTGTCGCTGCAGTCGGTTGGGCCCGTGGGTTCCTGGCGGTGCCCTCAACCAGCCGCCGCGTGGAAGAAATTTGCTCGGGGCTCGGTCCGACGCTGCGGACCTCCGGAGGTCCTCGCACCTGACGGGGGCGGTTAGTTTGACGCCGAGTTCAGTGGGCACTTGGAACAGCAGGGCGCGTTCAAGCGCGCTGCCGACTCGGGCGGCCCCTGGCGGAGCGGGAAAAATGAGCGGGCGGGCCAATGGTTGATGGAGCGGCCCCAGCGATTCGTGGACGACGCAGTCCTGGAGGGCGCCGACGATCTGGAATTGGCTGCCTGCGAAGTGGCTGCCTGGCGGAACCGGTTTCTGAACCGAGGCGGCTACTCGGCGCTCCAGCTCGCGTTCAGGCAAAGCCCCAGAGTGCTCCAGGATATGTTCAGCGATGGCCCGCTAGACCACGTGGGGCGCCGCGACCTCGAGGGGCCAAGTGCTGTCCTCGACAGCGCGGCCGCAGCATTCCGACTCCGACATGAGTTCAGATCACGTGCTCGGCAGTTTGCCTTGGAGGGTGACGCCCGTAGGAAGTCGCAGCGCGTGCTGGGTTCTGCGCGGCGCAGGGGCCGGATGTGCCGACCTGGGGATTGGGTTTGCATCTGGGCGCGAGCGCCCAAGACGGGGGGCAAACCATGCGGGCCACAGAGGGGCGGGTGGGCGGGGCCGGGGGCAGTCGCGCACCGTCGCGGTACTGTGGCATGGGCATGTGCGCGCAGTCGCCTGCGGAAGGGCAGTTATGAGCAGATGTGACCTGTTGCGCAGTCTGAATCATATGGGGCTGAAGTCATCCAGCCATTACCAATCGGGGCGTCTTGGGTCGGCAACTAGCCAGGGGCATTTCTGGAGGGGCCCTAGATGTAGCTCAAGAAGGACCACCGCCACCAGAGGCCGCCATGTCTCCGACCACTCCCGAGGGATCTGCGTCGCCAGTCTGAGCAGCCCCTGCAGGTTGCAGGCTTCGGGCCCCCGCGGCCCGCAGCGGGTCTCCAACTTGGGCCCCAGCGACGAGGCTCCAAGGGCTCCCGGTCCATCTCCCGTCTCCGCCGCTCTCCCAACTCCAGCTCCGACCCGGGCAGATCCGGAGACACCGGCTCAAGTGGGTCTCCTGCCTCCTGGTCATCCATGGGGAATCCCAGCTGGAGCTGCTGCTGCCGGCCCGAGGGCGAGACTTCAATTTGTCTGGCCCCGGGCCCAGTGGATCGCACGGTGCCAGTGCCTGAGCTGAGCAGGAGGAGGTAGCACTGCCGTCAGAGCGTCTGGCAGCCACAGCTCGACAGGAAAGGGCGGGCTCCAGTCTCGCCGGTCATCTAGGGGGCCTGCTGCCGAGCCGACTCTTCCGGCGTCGCTGCCGAATCCGTCCTCGGCCGAGTCGGAACCTGGCTCTCGCGCGGAGGCCGCCGCAGTCGGTTCTTAGGCTCCTTCGAGGCGACCGTCCTTGTCCGAGAACGATCCAGAGTTCAAGCGCGTTCGATTGAATCCTGGGCGGCGTCGTTCGTCCTCGGGCGGGCCCTCCACCGACGAGCTGCTCGCGTCATCTGGGCTGCCGACGCCCTCGGAGCTGCAGCCTAGATTCGGCTCCTCTGGGGCAGAGGGCCTGGTGCGCAAGCAGTTTCAGGAGTTCGAGACTTGGCGTTCTCAACAGGGCGGCTCCAGCAGCTCTCCGCCGACCGGGTCGGAGGAGGTCGACCAGGCTAAGCAGATGGAGGCGTCCAATCTCAGCGCTCTCGAGGGCTACTGCGAGGCTGTAGTCATCTGGTTCGAGGGCTCAGGCTGGAGCGGCGACATCGAGACGTACCTCAACGTCTGGAGCGACCCCATCTTCGAGCATTCTGGGGCAAGCGGCGGCCGCTGGTCACTCTTGTCGTCGCGAGGTGAAGAGGTCAAGCTGAAGGGTCTCGCCGTGCAGGAGTGGAGGCAGTTCAGGCAGTCTGACGAGGCCGACTGGCGGGTGCTCAACAGGCCGAACTTGCCGGGGATACTCGGCAAGAAGGAGCCCACTCGCGTGCTTCGGACGCGTCCAGAGCAAGTGCTGTCTTCCAGGATGGCTCGCAGATGGAAGGCTCAGGAGGGGGCCTTCAGTGCGCCGAAGGCCGAGAGCCGCCGGTGCGTCCACGGCTTCGCCGACCCCGGCACAGAGCATCCAGTGACCTACTCGCCGTCGGAATCGATGATGCTGTTCGATGGGCGCGACTTAGTCCAGAGTGTCGTGGACTGCAAGAACGCCTTCAGCCAGTCGCTGAAGCTCCGTTGGTCTGGAGGTCCTATGTGCGTGGCTCCCTGCGAGGGGCTGACAGTCATCCATGTCCCGGAGGGCTGCTTGATCGAGCTCCGCGTGGCCGTCTGCGGGCTCGATGACGCGCCCTGGGAGTGGCGCGTCGCGATCACTTCCTATCTTCGAGTCCGCGGTCTCAGGATGCTTCTTGTGGAACTGTGCTACTGGGACCCCCCAGAGCAGGGTCTATTGAAATAACAGGTGCTGATCGAGGTGGGCGACCTCTGGCTCGGGGCCGCTCCGACTCGCGCCGAGTGGCTGGCAGACTCGATGAAGGCCGGATTCCCCTGCGGCACGTGGCGCGGTAATGGGGCGGAGTTCGCGTGGCGCCGCGTGCGCCGGGAGCGCAGCCGAATCCGCGTGTACCACGAGAAGTACATTCTCGAGGGAACTCATCCCATCATCCTCGAGAAGTGCCGCCGCTCCGAGCGCCGGGGGTCTCTGGGCCGCTCCGAGTTCGAGCAGCCCAGGTCCGGCATCTATCGGATCAACTGGGCGGCGAGGGAGACTCGACTGGAAGTCAAAGTCTCGGGCGCTGGCTCCATACTGGCCAGCAGGTTGCAGCAAGCCGTGGTGGGTGATATCGTGATATTCAATTGGGCAGTCCAGATGCTGCGTAACACGGCGTCTCAGTACTTGACGATGTTGCGCCGCGACCTGTCCCGCGTCGTGAGCTTAACTTTGAGTAACACGGCCGGGATCGGCGCCGACTCGCCGATCCAGTGCGCCTAGGCAATTGGAGTGGCCGGTTCCCAGCTAGCAGCAGGAATGAGCAGCAAGGGGAGTCCCTTGTTTTGGAGATCCCCCAAGCTGCGACGGGCTGCCAACTCCTCGCTGGCCGGGGGAGCGAGCTTCCTCTGCCAGTTAACCAGAGAGGCCGACTGGATGCAGCTGCTACTGCGAGACGCCTGCTTCGGACGTGTGCCCATTGCAGACTGGCGTCGTTTTGGTGGTCCTCACGATTCAGTGCTTCGAAAACTGCGAGCTGCGTCGGCCTCTGCCAGGAGTTCAAGCGACGGACGCCAAGCCCATCTTCGACTGTCTGTCCAAGAACTGTGCTGGCAGAAAGGAGGAGCGCAGAACCTCTGTGGATCTCGCGATAGCTCGTGAGTCTTTCTCTCAGCGTGGATCTTGCGTCAAATGACCCGCCACCCTCCCAGTCCGACCGACGCGATGACCAAGGCCGATGTCTCGAAATGGTCAGATGCCATGGGGCGCATGCTTCGCCAGGGAACCTTGCGATTGAGTGATTCCGAGTCTGATCGAGCTTGCCTTCTTGCTGGAGGCGAGAAGGGCCGCCGCAGTCGCGAGGCCAGCCGTCGTCATCTACCAGATCGCGAGAGTCGGCTCAAGGAGTCAGGCCGGCAGTAAGTGGGGGGAGGTGTGGAACCATGTGGCTCCCTCTCGCCCAGACTAGTGGCTGCCCTGTCCCATGCGTGCTCTCTGCTTCTGCTGTCTTTGCTTGCGTTCTTGCGTCTGTTGGGCAAGGGTTGCGGTCTGTTTGCGGCTGATCTGAGGACGCTCTGGCGTGAGCCATTTCTAGCTGTGCTGGCGAGGAGTTACATCCTAGTCGGATGATCTTGCGATGGCCGCCCGAACCCGTCGTGCCCGCGTGGGTTCCAGCCGTGATTCGTCGGGGCCCACGGCCTCGGCGACTCCGCTGCTCTCGCCAGCCCTGATGCATGCAATGGGATGTCCCCATCGCCCTGGCGCCGCCGATACCACGCACCTTCGCATTTCAAAGCGCGCGCTCGAAGAAGGACGCCGTCTCCTGAAACATACTGGCCTTCAGCATGAATCCCTTGCCGTAGCCGCCCTGGGATGCGCGCGCACCGTCTCCCCAGACTCCGCGGGGCGGCAAAGGCTACCAAACCCAAGCCCGGCCATGTCCAGGGAACCGTGTGCCAACTAGGCCGCGCAGAAGTCGAGTGCCTGCAGAATGTGGTTCAGGTGGCGCTGGACCCGTTAGGGAATATTGCATAGATCTGCGGAGCCATATGTGAGACAGATGCCAGTGCCGACGCGCCGTTTCTCGAAAACATTTTACCTCGCAGCACCTGGGGGCAGCGTCGATCAACGGCGCGCGGATGCCTGGAGGGACAGGCGCAGCCCCGCCCGGGGCCAGAGAACGGAAGTCGGCAACCAGGCCTCACATTTGCTTTCACAGTTTTATTCGCGTCTCACTTCCGCGCGGCCCCGATCCAGGGCCCCATGAATTTGCCTGGGCGCCGCGGCAGTGACGGGCAAATTGAGTTTCGCCGCTATTTTGGCATCGGGCCAGCCGACGCCCCGACGATTCTCGCTGCATCTGGTCAAGGAGGTATCCAGCTCGACATCAGCTACTGTGGTATGAGGGCACTTGCGCCAAGTGAGTGCGTCGCCGTGCGGTGCGAGGATGGTCTCCAGACGCGCGCTCCATGATAGCCGCCGGGCGTTTAAGAGGCATGATGCTTTCGGGGCCTTCGCCGGCAAACGAGTTGGCATCGGGGGCGACCCGGGCGCTGATGATGTCGAAGCGATGGCCGTCGAGCTCCGGGGATCCGACGCGTCGTTCGCTCGCGCCACCTATTGAAAGGCGTCGCGCCCCGGAGCGCCTCCCGTCAAGGCGCAAATTTCCAAAGCCTTCGCCTCCCTGAAATGACGCTCTAATATCCAGTGCGCGGCGTGGGGCAGGACGATTCGAGGCGATCTTGCTACTGCCACATCGGCAGTGGCTCCTTCTGACGCCGCCGTCCATGTCCAGGGCTCAAGTATCATTTCCTCGGTCGTCGCGCTGGCGGAAGCGGAGCCGCCGAAGACGCCCGCGGAAAATGCCTTCTCACCAGAAGCCATTACATCTGATGCGCTCGCGAAGGGGTCGCCACCGGGCGGCCCGAGCTCCGGCGCCGCGCCGACCCTCCGCGGCAGGGCTGCCACCAGGCCGCGTTTCGAAGCACTGCTGACACTGCCGCCGTCTAGCCAGCGGCGGCGTGCACTGGCCGCAGGTGCGTCGCCACCGCCGGAGCAGTGCCAGTTTGGTGAAGCGCGCCGACGTTCTGCCGTCGTCGCTCGGCGCACCGCGGACCGCCCCGCGCGGGAGGGCGGCCCGGCGCCCGCCAGGATCCAGTTGTGGCATCAGGGGGCAGAGGGCTTCGTCATGTCCGATCTTGGCACTGACGCTCCACTTGGGCCCCCCAGCGGGGGCCGTGAGTCACCGCGATGCGAAGAGGATTCGTAGCAGACCGGCTGCCAAAGCCAAGTATCCATGGCACGTCGGATCAAGCCGACGCCCGCGTCAGCTGCTTGGAAGCAGACTGGCAGCGACTGGCCGACGTTGTGCAGCGACTTGAGAACACGGTTATCAGCGTGGCTGCGAGCCAAGCCACGCTGGCCCAACGCTGCCACCAGTTCGGGAAAGGCAGTTAGCAACCCAGCCTCGACGTGGACTCAGGATTGCTTGCGGCGCAGATGGCGCCGCGCACTGCGATGGCGCAAGCCCCGGCGGCATTCCGCAGCGTCGTCGACCCCCCCGCCCCGTGCCGAACCAACTGGGACAGAGATTGCTGGCGCTATCGCGGGGGGGAACGCAGGGGCAGCGGGGGCAGCCTGACGGGGGGGGCAGGCAGGAACGTGAACTCAGGGCTATGCCGCCGCGCCGCGCGCGCCCCCGACCGCCGCTGGGCCCGCTCTGAGGGGCTTCGATGGGCCCCCCTCACCCCGCCGAGGTCACGATGCCCGAAGGAATTTTGGATACATGTGCATGCTTCTGCAGGGGCAGAAGAAACGGATTCCTCATGGCATGGGACTTGGCATTTGTTTTCAGCGTTGCCATTTCTGGTTCGCCAGGGGGCGGATGACCGGCCCAGCTTGCTCGGGCTCGTGCAGCTACAGCGAGGGCGAAAGAGTGCCTCCGCAGGAATTGGCGCAGAGGTTGTCTCGTCATCCCGCGCGCGCCCGCGGCTGCGCCCATGGCGCCGTCGCCGCGGGCGTAAGCGTGGCGGCCCACGCCCGCGCTATCACGTGGGGCCTTGTTCTAGGTGACCAAGGGGCGCCTGCCCCGAGAGCCGACCGGTTTGTAGCCCAGCACGTCTACGGAGTAAGCGCTGACGCCGACGCGGGTCTTCTTTTCGCCATCGCAGGCGACGCGCAGCCTTCCACGGCTGCGCCTTCTACTTCGACGTCGCGGACCCCTTCGGGACCCGCGGCCGCCAGCAGTGCTGGCGAGGGCTTGCCTGGGCAACCGCGGTCAACGATTGCAGCGCGTAGCCGCGGTGGTCCACCGTTTCCCTTTGACCTTCTGGTCAATGCTTAGCAAGAGCCCTCCGCGTGTGCTGGCGACGGGGATGGCCCCAACAGCTATTAAAACGACTGTGCATTATGCCGGCAAAAGACGACCTGGCTGGGCGTCCGCAGACTCAGGTCCATGCTGACGCCAAAAACCAGCAGAGAGATGAAGCGTGCCAATCCGCTATGCCCTCCGAGAAGCCACGCAGGCCGCGGGCCACCCTGGCCCCAGCGCGCGGGCGCCTTGCTCGCCGATTGAATGGGCCCACGCCGCTGCCAGACAAGGGCCGCTGGGCGCCGGCGCAGTCTGCCCGGCCGCGGCGACGGAACGAACGCGGACCGCCGTGTCTCCGGCGACCCACTCGAAGACCCCGACGGCGATCAAGGGACCCCATCCTCATCGAATGCCCAGACGACGCAGTAGGACTCCTTCCCGCGCGCGACGTCCAGCGCCGCGACTGCCGCCAACATGGGGAAGCACCTCGGCAAAGGCGCCAGCTCCTCCAGCGCATCCAGCGTGCTGCCGTTGCGTGGGGCCCGAGGGAGGGAGCGCGCGCGGGCTTCCGGACCTGGATGGGGAAATGTACCGGTCACGTCGTGGAAGATGACGCTGCAGCTACGCGCAGCCGCGCCGACCCACGCGCGACCTCTGCCTCGCGGCGCGGCAGACTACGCAGCTTGTCCGTGCGCGCGAGCGCAATGCGTTCATGGGTCTGGCCAGCTGTGGCCGACCCATCTACCTGTTCAGCTACGTCCGCCACTTCATCCACGCGGTGGCTCGACGGGGCCACGTCAGGCTGCGGCAAGAGGCGCGACGAGGGACGCCGCCGCCGCCCCAGCGACGGGCGCCGACGGATCAGCATCCCGCAGCCGCCGCCAGGAGCGAGGCCGGCGACTGACATCCCAGCGCCGCAGGCCCCGCCGGGAGAGGCGTCGCTGGACGACGACTCCATTATGGAGAACACGTCTGACGACGACTCGCTGGAGGCCCCTCCATGGCCATAGAACCCACTGGGGTTCAGGCGCGCGCAACGTGGCGAACCTGGCAGTCAACGGCCCAAGGCGCGCTGCGCAGGCGACCCCACGCGCGCTGCATGACGACGTCGAGCGCGGGCGCCAGCGTGGCCGCGCGACGCGCTGCCTGGAGAATTGGCCGAACGCGGTCAGGAGAGAACCGTTGAGCGATTGGGGGTGGCCGCGCGACTGAGGCGGGTTGCAATCTATCGCCAGCGCGACAGCGCCGCTTCAGCAGGCGGTTCTTGGTCGCCACCTGGGCCATAGCGGCAATGGCTCGTCGCCGCTGCATGGGCGACCGACGGGCGGCGGCAGGCGGCGACTTCGAGCGCGACGGAGTCGATCAGGACAGCGGGGCGATGGTGACGGACGCGGAGGGCGTTTCTCCATGCTTCTTGGCCCTTGGCGCGCCGTTGGACTTCTACTTCGAGGTCTTCGCCGAAGC